ATTTTTGTTCAAGTGACAAAAAAATCGTCTGAATAACAATAAAAATTTATTTATACTAACGGTATTTATAACTTAAACTCTTATTATACTAAGACTAAAATTTAACAAATGAAAATTAATATTTTTTCTAGCGGCTTAACCTTTTACTTCAGCAAAGATAGTTATGCAATTCAACATAAGATTAGAATAAGTTTCATGTAACTGATATTTCATCCATACTTAGGTATGCCGTTAATATCTCATTAAAGCCAACGCTATCATGTTTTTATTTCAAAACAAAATTATTTTAAGTAATTAAAGTAAGGAGCCTTAATTTAAGGGTAAGATGACTAAATTAATTTAAACGGTCATTTTTTTCAGACATTTGTATTACTAAGGTAAATAATCTTATTTTACGTTATCGATTTGATATAAAATAATACTATTAGATAGATTATTCTATAGGTTGTGCAAGTATTATTTATATTGAATACAAAATTAGTAGCCAAACATCTGATCTCAACCTAATAATACGTAGTTACATATACAAGGATGCATAAAGCTATCGCGAGAGTTCATGTGCCCCCTTTCGGCCCAAGCAAAGCTTTGCCCTTGCATGCCAACAAAATTTAATAATGTTAACGGTGTATAATTAATGTATAATTTTTGAATAAACATAGCTAGCAGATGTATATTATATATATAACTGTATATATTCAATGTATAATCTATGTATATCTACTAGAAAAAATAAATATAAAATCTGGCCGGCTATTTGTGTAACAATTCCGAAAAAGAAAAATGTTACAGTTCTCATTTAATTGGTTGCAATATTGGGTCCATTTGAAACTTGTTCAGCTAGAATGCTACAAAACAAATATGAATCATTTAAGTGTGATGACCCAAAAGGTTATCTTTAAATTTAATAAATTATTTCTGTGTTCTGAGACCTCAAATAGCACTATTCATCATTTCTCGACTTGCGTGCGCAGTCCGTAAATTTTTCTGGAAAGGTTTTATGTGAAAAATTGATTAAAATGTGAAATAGAGCTTTAAAACTCAATTGGGTTGACTTTGGTCAACATTTTGAGCAAACGGACCCGGATCAGTATTTTGACAGTTTCGCTAGGTCCGTATCGTGATTTGAAATTTGGGCGTATACCCAGAATCAAATTCGGAGGTCCCTAACTCGAGTTATCGCATTTTGTCAAATTTTTTAAATTTAAAGGTTTAATGACTTAAGAGATTTGACTAATGTTTGACTTTGTTGATACCGGATCCGTATTTTGGTTCCGGAACCCAGTATAGCTCCATTACTATATTTATGACTTGTCTGCCAAATTTGGTGAGAAACAGAGCTGGTTTGACGTGATTCGGACGTCCGATTATTAAAATAAAAATTCTAAAGTTTTCTTTAAAATTTCATTTGATTTGGTGTCAGATTCGTAGTTCTAAGTGTTATTTTGGTGTTTTAATTGCGCAAGCAAGTTCGTATTAAGTTTTTGGACCGGTGTGCATATATGGTTTAGAGCCCCAGGGCTCGGGTGAGTTTCGGATAGCCTACGGACCTTTTGAACTTTGGAAAAATCTGGTTTTTGAGCTTCAGCTGTCATCGCTTCGCGATCGCGAAGCCATTCCTGCGATCGCAAAGAGAAAATTGTGAGCCGTTCGCGAAGATAGGCACGCGATCGCGGAAGGTTATCTCCAAGTGCACCGCGAACACGTAGAGTTGATCGCGTCCGTGAAGAGAAAATGAGGCATAAGCTGGGGCATTCAAATTTGTTCTTCGCGTACGCATGAAGCGGTCCGCGATCGCGAAGTCTGCGGGGTTATGCTTCGCGTTCGCGTATGGGATATCGCGTTCGCATAGTGCAAATTGGCAGCCTGTGCAATTTGTGCTTCGCGATCGCGAAGCCATTCCCGCGATTGCGAAGAGTAAAATGGACCTGGGCAGAAATTGTTCTACGCTATCGCGAACGGATTCCCGCGATCGCGATGAGTAAAAACCTGGACAACAGAACTTAAGTTCTAGAAATGGGATCTCGCCCCATTTTTCATTATTCACGATTTTGAGCTCGGGTAAGGCAAATTTTGGGCAATTTTTACGGAAAAATATTGGGGTAAGTGTTCCTTATTCTATATTGATTATATTTCATGATTCCATACTCATTTATATCATGAATCCGTGAATTTATGGAAGAAAAATCAGATATTTATCAAATCTTTCAAAAATGTAAAATTAAGATTTGAAGGTCAATCCGATGTCGGAATTCGATGATTTTTATACGGTTGAACTCGTATCGGAACGGCTGTTCGGATTTTGTGAGTTTTTTTTGAGATTCGAGACGTGGGCCCCATTATCGATTTTTTAGATGAATTTCGGATTTTAATCCGAAAAATTAGTAAATTCATATGGAATTAATTCCTATAATTTGTATTGAGTATATTTAATTATTTATGACTAGAATTGAGGATTTCGGACACGAATTCGCGAGGCAATGGTTTATTGGATTCTTGAATTTGGTTGTAAAGCGAGGTAAGTGTTGTGATTAACCTTAACTTGAAGGAATAGGACTTATTTGTCTATTTGCCACGTGATTTAATTTGCGGGTACAACGTATATGTGAGGTGACAAGTACGTATGAGTTGTGGTTGCGTCAAAGCATGCGGGTGAAATCTGTTTATTGTGAATAATTGCATACTTAATTAAGATATTTCTGCTTAAATTATTAATGTTTATTTGATCATTTTCATGGGATTATTGTTAGTTGAATTATTGTTGAATATTCTGGAAGGTGAAGTCGATATTCTGGTATTGAAATAAATTATAAGTATATATCCTCGCATTTAAATACTCTTTCGAATTTATATTATTATTTTCATGGGAAGGAAGAGTGTAAAAGCACGAAGGGTGATGCCGTACCATTTTTATTATTCATTCTATCATTGTCATGGTGAGAAAGAGTGTAAAAGCACGAAGGGTGTTGCCGTGTCATTTTTGATAGTAAAAGCACGAAGGGTGATGCCGTGTCATTTTTAGAGAGTGTAAAAGTACGAAGGGTGATGCCATGCCAAAAGAGAGTAAAAGCACGAAGGGTGATGTCGTGCCAATTATTATTATTATTATTTATTTATCAGTTTATGGGAGGAATGAGAGTAAAAGCACGAAGGGTGGTGCCGTGCCATTTTCATATCATCAGTTGCTCATTTTATTGTTGATGAATTAATTGGCCGCTAAGTAATACTTCTCCTGCTGAGATTATTATATCATTCCTCTTCGCATGTTCCCTCCCAAATTTATAAAGTGTTATTTATTATTTTATTGTTGCTTCGTATTTGTATATACGTGTACAGGTTGTTTACGTACTTGTCTTGTCATAGCTTCGTCACTACTTCGTCGAGGTTAGGCTCGACACTTACGGAGTACATGGGGTCGGTTGTACTCATACTACACTCTGCACTTCTTGTGCAGATTTTGGAGTTGGTCCTAGCGGCGTACCATAGACGTGCTCGGATTCAGCTACTCAAAGGAGACTTGAGGTATAACTGCACAGCGTTCGCAGTTTTGAAGTCCCCTTCTATCTTACCTTAGCTGTGTATTATCTTTCAAACAGCTTGAATTTTATTCAGATATTTTTTTGTATTATTCTAGTAGCTCGTGCACTTGTGACACCAGATTCATGGATGTATTGTGATGATTCGGTTGTTGTGGTCTTCCGCACTTTATTTCAATAATTGACTTCTGCTTAAATTCATTTGTTTAAAAATGGTTAAGCTATCATGTTTTTATTTCAAAAAAAAATACTTTAAGTAATTAAAGTAAGGAGCCTTAATTTAAGGGTAAGATGACTAAATTAATTTAAACGGTAATTTTTTCGGACATTTGTATTACTAGGGTAAATGTTCTTATTTTACGTTATCGATTTGGTATAAAATAATACTATTAGATAGATTATTCTATAGGTTGTGCAAAACAAAATTAGTAGACAAACATCTGATCTCAACCTAATAATACGTAGTTACATATAAAAGGATGCATAAAGCTACCGCGAGAGTTCATGGTCTAAATTTACCCTTTAGCTGCTGTCGTTTTCCATAAAGGCAAATGGTCATGGGTAGAAACGAGACACTATTTTAATTGATGATAAAATTGTTCTATTTCGCATAATTTAGGGGTATTTTTTATCCGTTATCCTTTGTGTATTTTTTTAACCTTTACCCTTTAGAAAAGTATGAGATAGACAAATCCCCTCTAGAAAAGACAGCACGGGAACATGAGTCGTTATTTATTTGCAAATTCCACAAATGAATAGTTAAATGTATCGTGTTTAGATGATTGATGAACCAAAAGTACAATCATCCATGGCCGGTATAGCAGAGAGACTAAAGCAAATTAATTTTCGCGTCCAATATAGCACTTAGTTTTAATATATAACCAAGTATAAAAATTTAATGAGCAGATGGAAAATATATAAATTAAGGTGCGAAAGAAATAGAGTAAGAGACTTCACAGGCAATTAATAAAGACACAAACAAACTTATATAGTATATTGACAACAAACAGAAAAGCCACGTCACAGCAGCAACACACAAACCTAAGAACTGATCATGATCTGTTCCATGGTTGTAGTTTTATTGTTATTAATTACAATAACTTTTAGAAAACACATTTAATACAGAGACACAATGCAGTTTTTGGAGTGGGATTATCTTAACAATTGCAAGGGTCACAGGTGCAGTTTGATCCACACTTGCACCCATTTCCTCCTTCTGCTGCTTTCTCTCCTGATTCCACAAAGCTGCAATATATATTTCAAGTAATCTTTTTTAGTATTGTAGTCTGAGTTTAATTTAATTAATTCTATACACTAAGCAACAGGGACAGACGGTAGAAGCCACAAGTTTGGTCTAACCTAATAGTTTTTGTTCAAATCATGGGCGCATTTATAGGAGAGATTTATGGGGCAAGTGAACTCATGGTCTCTCATCAAAATTAGATATTTTCTAAAATTAGTATAATATTAACTGTTGACATTCATGCTCCAAGAAGGTTGAATGGTACACTTGGCTAAATGTTGAGTTATATACCAAGAGGAAGAAGGATCAATTCCCGCTTAATACATTTATTCCTCCTTATTCCCATGTACTGAAAATCCTAGATCCGCCTATGACTCAAATAATGTATTTGTGTCAAGAAATTTATTAAATATATACACATGTTAAAAGGTATTAATATTTGAAATCATCATTCTAAAATCCAAATGTCATCAAGTTGATACTGTGGCTCTGCTAAGCAGATAACTTTGTAGGTGTTTGGACATAAACATTGTAATTTTTGAAAAAAGTAGTATTTGGAGTTAAATTGAAAAATTATATTTAGAATTTGAAATTATGTTTGGACATGTATTTCACTTGAAAAAATATTGTAATTTTGTGAGTGGGGAAAAAAATTCTGAAAATTTTGATTTTGAAAAACTCATTTTCGAAAAATTTTCAAAAACTAGCAAAATTTCATGGACATAAACATTTTTGATTTATGGACAAACGGGGCCTTAAAGAAGATGCAGATAAATGAAATCAATGCATTGAGAATAAGTTAAGCAATCTACAATAACATGTTAAATTATAAGCTAAAACCTCCTAATTTCAAATTTTAATAACTTTTTCGACCTTATTTTCACCTCAAACTACTAATATATCTAAACCAAAGGAAAAATAAAATTAGACGTACTTGTTCATGGGAGCAACACCCTCAATGGTGGTAAAGGTAGTGGACTTCTCCAAGTCTGGGTACATCCCACATCTACAATATCATAAAAACACAAGTCACAATTTTTTTTTACTATAACTTTAATCAAGTATTATACATACGAGGCGACTCATCGGTATTTCAAATATTAAAGTTTAGATACTGAGAAGTAAATCAGTATTTGCAGATGAACTTTAGTATTTGCCATATTGACACAAAATCTATATTCAAAACACTTACCCTCCGCCACTGCCGCATTTGCAGCCAGATCCACAGCCACAGTTTCCTCCGCAGCAAGACATGTTTAATTTTCTTAATTTGTTGTTGGGAGATTTGTTGAAAAAGAAAGTTTAATCACTAAAGTAAGTTCTTGTTGTAGTTGTGTTGAAAAGTGAATCATAGGGTGGGGTTTTTTTATAGAGGGAAAAGGAGGACAAAATAGGTAATTGTTTGCGTGACAAGTTGACAAAATCATGGTAGAATTTGTAAATAAGTGTTTAATAATGTCTGAAATATCTCTTTAGAGGAGAAAGGCATGAAGCTAGTTGCCATTGAGTTTATTTTATTTTTTTAGTCTTAATCTTAATTAAGGAAATGAGAATTGATCATCCTACAATAGTTGACATTTCTAAGGTATTGATTAAATTATGTAAAGGATAAAGTAAACGTGCATCCCTTAATTAATTTTGGATGCAATAACTATTAATTAGTCCTTTAGCTACGTTTAGGAATAAATATGACTTTCAACATAGTAATGTTTGGGATTCAGTTAGGTACCCTTATATGTTCTTTTATGTTCGTTAAATACCGCTAATGTTGAAGAGCATTTTAGTTATTTTAACTAAAATTATAAGGATTTATAGGAATTCGGATTATCTTTTTAAGGTGAAATTTTCAACTCTCAACAACGACATAATCTAGGATTTATAGACTTTTCTCCCTCTAACATATTAAAAACATTATCCAATTGGTATCTTTTTTTGGGAAACTTGTCCAAAGTGACTTTTTAACATATTTTTATCTGATGCTATTTGCGTTTGAATAGGATAAAACAATTATTTTATTCGATTGAATAATTGCTCAAAGGCATCGACAAGAACATATCAATTTTCCGTCTCAATCATTCCAAAGTATTGCGTTTAAGAGATTTTAGAGTCTTGAAATTTACGCAAAAAATAACCAGAGGGAAAGCGTCTTTGTTATATTCTTCAATATCATCTCATTTGATAGTAGTATGAGCTTAACAAAGAGTTTCTAGATTTTAACGATTACATAAACTTAAACGAATTATTAATTTGACATAATTACTCAGTGATTGCTATTACGATCAAATACTTAAAAAATATAACAAAGTGACCTTGCTACTTCAGCTATTTGTCGCTTCGATCCAATAACAAAAATACTTACAAGAGCTTGAACACAAAATAGTATGCATTAAAAAGAGGGGTAAAAGACTCTTGAGATGACTATGAGATACCCATAATAGATTTCCTTACATCAATGAAGCGATGCGGCGTGAGGGTAATTGTTTCAGGAGTGAAGTCCAAGGGGAACACACAAAGATGGAGGATGGCAGAAGTGAAGTGAAATTATGAAAAGATGGAAGATGAGAGTCAACTAGTTACATATTGCCTCCCCACCACCCATGAGGTATGAACTGATTAGAGAACATACCGTCAGGTGTGCCACGGCGATCATGTCGACTACGACGAATACTGGTACAACCGCTGCCACCATCACCTCCTTTGGCCCATATGCGAAAGCGATCAATCATTCTCCTTTCCTGTAAGGAAACTTGTATAAACGGACAAATGGATACTGGGATATAAGAGTATGTATATCTAAAGCAGTAATTGTAGAGGGAGAGAAGTGGAAGCATGAAGAACCTGTAGAGGAGCAAGCTTTGTTTTCTTGTGAACAATGTCTGAGAAAGAATAAGTTTGGGTTAACCATGGAGACCGCAAGCATCTTTGCAAAGTC